ACCGGGATGGGTCGTGCGGGGGGACCCCCGCACGACCCATCCCGGTCTTCCCCTCCCGTTCCCGGTCACCGGTCCCCTCCCCGACTCACCGCGCTGGCGATCCGTGCCAGGACCTGCGGTTGTTGCAAGAAGTGGCCCAAATCGAAGGCACCCCCGGCCTTGGCCGCCCCGTACGCTCCCCCACCGCCTCCGCCACCGCCCTCCATGGCCCCGGAGCCGCCACCGCTCCTGCGCGGTCCCGCCCCCGGAGGTGGGACGGAACGGGAGGTCCGTCCGTCCGTCCCCCGCCCCGTCGGGGCGGAGCGGAGCGGAGCATGCTCCGGAGTGGGTCACAGAGTCGCAGAATCTTGATGGGTGGAAAGTTATAGAATCAAAGAATGATTAGAGTTGGAAGGGACCTTGAAGATCATCCAGTTCCAACCCCCTGTCCTGGGCAGGGACACCTCCCACCAGACCAGGTTGCTCCAAGCCCCATCCAGCCTGGCCTTGAACCTCTCCAGGGATGGGGCAGCCACAGCTTCTCTGGGCAACCTGTTCCAGGCTCTCACCACCCTCACAGCAAAGAATTTTTTTCCTAATATCTAACCTAAATCTCCCCTCTTTCAATTTAAAACCGTTACCCCTCATCCTGTTGCTACACTTCCTGACAAAGAGTCCCTCCCCTGCTTTCCCATAGCCCCCTTCAGATATTGGAAGGCTCAGATATACATGGAGAGAGGTAGTTTCTAAGCTGTTTTGCCAAACAGCATTCACATTCTCACCCTATGCCCCTGTTTTCAGCCACATCATCTTTGGGGTGAGGGTGGCAGAGCCCTGGAAGAGGCTGCCCAGGGAGGGTGTGGGGTCCCCTTCTCTGGAGATCTTCAGGCCCCTGGATGCTCCTGAGTGATGTGCTCTGGGCAACCCTGCTTTGGCAGGGGAGTTGGACTGGATGATCTCTAGAAGGTCCCTTCCAACTCCAACAATTCTGGGATCTCTCCACACACACTCCTCCAGGCAGTTTTCCAGCCTGACCTTCACAGACACACACAATGTTTTGTTTTGTTGGGGGTTTTTTGCTGTTTTTTTTTTTTTATCTCTGTCCGGCCAGCTCGAAACAATCTTATTCTTAAAGCGATACAGTCTTATTTCTCATCAAGTTTTGCTTGATCATCTGCGACATGCTCAGAAGGGCTCCAAAATCAGTCTTGATCGATCTCTTGAGGGGCCTGACCTTCACAGACACACACAATGTTTTGTTTTGTTGGGGGTTTTTTGCTGGTTTTTTTTTTTTTATCTACCCTGCTTTGGCAGGGGAGTTGGACTGGATGATCTCTAGAAGGTCCCTTCCAACTCCAACAATTCTGGGATCTCTCCACACACACTCCTCCAGGCAGTTTTCCAGCCTGACCTTCACAGACACACACAATGTTTTGTTTTGTTGGGGGTTTTTTGCTGGTTTTTTTTTTTTTATCTCTGTCCGGCCAGCTCGAAACAATCTTATTCTTAAAGCGATACAGTCTTATTTCTCATCAAGTTTTGCTTGATCATCTGCGACATGCTCAGAAGGGCTCCAAAATCAGTCTTGATCGATCTCTTGAGGGTGCGAGAGCCTGGCCCAGGTTGCCCAGAGAAGCTGTGGCTGCCCCATCCCTGGAGGGGTTCAAGGCCAGGTTGGAGGGGGCTTGGAGCAACCTGGTCTGGTGGGAGGTGTCCCTGCCCAGGGCAGGGGGTGGCACTGGATGATCTTTAAGCTCCCTTCCAACCCAAACCATTCTATGATTCTGTGATTCCAGATGTTTTGCTTGTCCCCAACAGGCTGCGGAGCCCGGGGCCGTTGGAGGGGAGGGGGAAGGCTCTAAACGCCCCCCCTGGCCCCGGGGGCACCGACGGGGGGGGCGGGGGAGCGGGACGGGAGCGGCTCGGTCCCGGGACAGTATTGGCGGGGGGGGTAGGGGGTGCACAGAGGTCTCTGTCCCGGTGTGTCACCACCCCCCGCCCCGGAGGGCGTGTTTGCGGCCGTGCCCGTCCCGAGCCGGGCGCCGGGAGGCTCCGTCTCCTCCCCGGTTACGCCGTTTCCCCATCCGCCCGGCCCTCCTTCCTTCCTGCTCCGTTACCCCGGGGCTAGCGGCTGGGTTTAGACCCGGGTTTAACCCCGCCATCCCGTTCCTCCGCACTTTCTGGCTCCGGTTCCAGCTTCATCCCCATCCCCGGGGGTCGGGCAGGACCCCGTGGGGAGCCGTGGGGTCCGCGGTGGCCGTGGGTGCTGACACCCCCTCTTCTCGCCGGAGGGAGCACAGGATGTCCCGGCCGCCCTCCTTCACCCTCCGCATCGCTGAGGACACCGAGAACCATGGGTGAGTGTGGGGGCTGCCCTGCCCGACCTGTGCCCCCTCACGCTCAGCCCCCGGGGGTCCCGCAGCCCCCACAGCGTGAGGCTGGGGTCCCCACTGCGGGAGGCACCGTGCCCAACCCGTGCCACCATGGCCAGGCTTTGGGCTGGCACCGGGGCTTTGCCACGGCTCCATCTCCCGGCCCCCAGCCCCTGCCCCAGATGAGTGGGTCTGTGTCCCCGCAGCCTGGAGCCCAGCCCGGACAATGAAGGAGCCCTGCACACCTCCTTCCACCAGCTCATCCAGGAGCAGAGCAGCTTGATGGAGGCAGCTCTGGAGCTGGAGATGCAGGAGAGGAGCAGAGGTAAAGCACTGTGGTCACAGCTGGGGTGGGATGGCGACACTGTGTGTGCCCAGGGCCATCTCCTGTCCCAGACCCCACCTGGCCGGCTGGGACCCGTGCTGAGGCCGCAGCCAAAGCACTTGTAGGGTCCTACGGATGCCTTCATCAGGGCAGGCAGTGGGGCAGATGTGCCCTTGGGGACACAGAGGGTGTCCCCAGAGAAGGGGATGCTCTAGGGGGGAGCACACAGTGGGGCAGGTGCCTGGCTCCATCCCAGAGCAGGGCTGTGGGGACCGTAGCCGTGGGTGCTCTGGCTCTCACCACTCTGCATCTGGCACTGGAACAGCCTGCCCAGGGAGGTGGTGGAGTCACCATCCCTGGAGGTATTTAAGAAACGTATAGACATGGCTCTTCAGGGCCTGCTCTAGTGCCCAAGGTTATTGGTTTATGGCGAGGTGTTGAGTGTGGGGTTTAGTTGGTGGGTGCGGTGTTTTTGGTGGGCGTTTGGTGTGGTGTGGTTTTTTTTTTGTTTTGTTTTGTTTGTTTTGTTTTTTTTGTGGTTGGACTCGATGATCTCAGAGGTCCCTTCCAACCACTAAGATTTTGTGATTCTGTGATCTAACCCTCCCTCTCCAGACCACCCAGCACATCTGGCTCCCCCGGATGGCTGTGCCACAGCCTCGCCAGAGCCGGGGCAGGACGAGCAGCACCCCAACTTCTCCCCCGCCACCCTGCGGATCCTCGCCAGCATGCCCAGCCGCACCATCGGTAGGTGCCTCCCATCCTTCCCTGGGCCGGGAGACCCTCAGCAGAGCTCAACCCCTCTGCCCCACTCTCCCGTGGTTGCCCACCCTCCTGCCCTGCTCTCTCCCGCAGGGCGCAGCCGCGGGGCCATCATCTCCCAGTACTACAACCGCACAACCCGGCTGCGGCGCCGGAGCAGCCGCCCACCCCTGCAGCAGCTCTGCCGCACGGCACGGCCCAGCCTGCGCCACTACGACCTGGAGACAGACCCCACCAGGGCCACCCTGGAAGGTGAGGGTTCCCCTGGAGATGGGGACAGGCAGTGCTGGGCACCGTCCCCACGCCGTGGGGCACACGCCGTGTCCTGACTTGAGCCCTTTGCGCCCCTAGAGAAGCGGAACCTGCTGGTGAAGGAGCTGCTGAGCCTCTCGCCCGCCCAGCGCAGCCACATGCTGCTCACCGTGCCCCTCAGCCTGGCAGAGAAACGCACCCTCCGGTGGGTCCTCTCCCAACCAGTCCCGGCCAGGCAGGGCCCCGGCAACCGGAGCCGTCCCGGGGCCCGTGCTGCCCTCTGACACCCCTCTCTGCTGGCCAGGTGGGAGCTGAATGAGCAGAGGGGCCCCCCAAGGCAGCACACCCAGGACCGGACCACCTCCTCTCCCTGCGGACGGTCCAAGGACTGCATCGTCCTCGTAAGTCCGGGGTGTGGGTCCGTGCAGCAGCCGTCGGGGGCTCCGGTGCAGGCTGTGACCCCGGTGCTCTCCCCGGGCTCTCTCTCCCCAGGGCTGGCGGGGGCTCTGGTACAGGCTCCTCTCCCTGCTCGCCGCCGCACAGCCCTGGCACTATGCCCTGAAGCAGATCGGTGGCCGCTTCGGCTCCAGCGTCCTCTCCTACTTCGTGTTCCTCAAGACGCTCCTTATGTTCAACATCTTCTCGCTCCTCATCCTCCTCCTCTTCGTGGTGGCCCCGCAGGCTGTGTATCCCCCTCACTCGGCCAGCTCCCAGCCCTTCACCGGCCCCGAGCTGCTCACAGGAGCGGTAAGTACTGCCAGCACACCACTGCCAGTGACCCCAGGACAGGAGCTTCTCCAAGCCTGGGGCTCAGCCCCACATCCCTGCACCCCTGCCTGGTCCCTGCCCCACATCCCTGCCCCAGCAATGCCCTGGTCCCTGCCCCGCATCCCTGCATCCCCACCATAGAATCATAGAATTGTCCAAGCCAGAAGGGACCTCCAAAGGCCATCTAGTCCAACCCCCCCGCAGTCAGCAGGGACACCCCCAACTAGACCAGGTTGCCCAGGACCTCGTTGAGCCTCACCTTGAATATCTCCAGGGATGGGGCCTCAACCACCTCCCTGGGCAACCTGTTCCAGTGTTCCACCACCCTCATAGTAAAGAGCTTTTTTCTAATATCCAATCTAAATCTGCTCTTCACCATGGTGATGCCCAGGTCCCTGCCCTTCATCCCCATCATGGCGATGCCTTGGTCCCTGCCCCACATCCCTGCATCCCTGCCACAGCGATGCCCCGGTCCCTGCCCTCACACAGCGGTGGCACTGGGACCTCCAGTGCTGTGGGTGCAGAAGGGGGTGCCTGGTGCTGGCCCAGCCCAGGGCTCTGTGTCCCCCACGGGCTGGCACTGATGTGCCAGGCTGGGCAGGGAGCCACGGGCACCGATGAGATGAGACCCATCATGCTCTTCCCTACAGGGCTACTTCACTCACTCGCTGCTGTACTACGGCTACTACAGCAACGTCACCCTCAACGACCCCTGCACCTCCAGCCCCAACAGCAGCGTGTGCCCCCACGCAGCCCCCCGCTTCCCATACAACATGCCACTGGCCTACGTGTTCAGCGTTGGGGTCTCCTTCCTCCTCACCTGCATCCTGCTGGTGTACAGGTGGGTGGGCAGAGTCTCCAACCCTGCCAGCCTTCCCCCTGTGTCCAGCCCCAGCGCCCCTGATGCCTTCCCTCCTCGCTGCAGCATGTCCCGCTCCTTCGGGGAGAGCTACCGCGTGGGCAGCTCCAAGGGGGACCTGGCCGTCAAGGTCTTCTGTGCCTGGGACTTCAAGGTGGTCCAGAGGCGCTCGGTGAAGCTGCAGTGTGAGAACATCTGCACCCAACTGAAGGTGAGGAGCTGGGGGAGAGCTGGTCCCTGTACACCTTGGGAAGGCAAAGGTGGCCACAGGAGCCAGTCCAGACCCCAGCACCCCTCTCTTTGCCCACTGCACCGGGGGGTCCTGCAGCACACGTGCCCCCTGACCTGACCCTGCACCATCCCTTTGTCCATCAGCCCCCCTGGGTCCCACCTCAGTGCGGCAGGACAAGCCCTCTCTCTGGATCCAGAGGGTGCTCAGCAGCTCTGGTTCCTCTCTCTGCTCTCTTCCAGGAGCTGCTGGCGGAGCAGCGCTCCCGCTCCCGCTCCCTCAGCCTCCGCCAGCGCCTGGGACGCACGGTGGTGCTGCTGCTGGCCTGGGTCCTCTCGCTGAGCTCGGTGCTGGGCTGTGTGGTGGCTCTGCACTACTTCTCAGAGCACATGCATGCGGTGAGCGGGCTCTCCCGGCTCCTGCCGGGCTACCGGGGAGGGAGCCCTGGGAGGCAGAGGCAGCCCACCCCATTTCAGCTCCCATCCCGGTGTCGCTGGGCTCCCGGTAGCCACACGCTCACCCTGGTACCCGCTCACCAGGTTCAGCAGGGCCACCAGGTGCTGGGCAGCGGCGAGCGGCAGCAGGAAGCCATCCTGCTGGTCCTGCCCTTCATGGTGTCCCTCCTCAATGCGCTGATGCCTCACCTCTACAACTTGCTGGCCACCTGGGAGAAGCAGGACTCCCCCGTGACAGAGGTCAACGTGGCCATCTGCAGGTAGGCTGGCAGGGGAAACGTCCTGCAGTGTAGGGAGAGGCTTTGGGGCCAGGCACCCCATCCGTGGGGCTCAGCCCCTCCATCCCCAGGGCTCAGGGGGTCTTGGCCCTTCTCCTGCTCCCCAGGAACCTCATTCTGAAGACGGCGGTCCTTTGCCTGCTCTGCTACCAGTGGATCAGCCGCAGTGTCGTCTGCTCGAGAGAGGAGGTTGGTGCTGCCGTGCGGGGCCAGGCTCTGTGTGCTCTGTCCCGTCCCCGGGGAGCACGGAGGAAAGCCAAGGCTGCAGTCCCAGCACCAGCAGGGCAGGGGTCTGGCAGCAGGGGGTCTGCCAGATGGCACCGCAGCCACCATCGACCCCCTTGCCAGGGAAAGGGGGGTGACGGGCAGCCAGGGGCATCCCAAATGCAGGATGGCTGTGGAAAGGGGTGCAGGAGAGGAAGAGGTCTTCCACGGCCCCACGGGGGCCACGGGAAAGCCGTGGGGGAGGAGAGGCCTCACTCTACACTTGATGCCACCTTTGTTTGTCTCCCCAGTGCTGGGAGACATGTGTAGGGCAGGACCTGTATCGCTTCGTGGTGATGGACTTCATATTTACCCTGCTGGACACACTTTTCGGGGAGCTGGTGTGGAGGTAACATGTCCCAGGAGGGTCCCACCATCAGTGTGGTGTCCCCAGCACAGCCCTGGCAGCGCTGCCATCAGGGGGAGGAAACTGGGGGGGCTGAGTGTCCCCCCCAGCAGCAGTGTGGGAGCAGAGCTCCACTCCTTCCCAGGCTGATCTTGGAGAAGAAGCTGAAGAGGAATCAGAAGCCCGAATTCGACATCGCCCGAAACGTGCTGGAGCTGATCTATGGGCAGACCCTGACCTGGTGAGATGCCATCCTGCCTGGCATGGCTCTGCTGGCAAATGCCTCATGGTTCCCTGTGAGCCCCACAGCTGGCAGGGACCAGGCATGGGGACCCCATGTGTGTCACTGAGTGGGGCTGTGGGAGACCCCCCTCTTCAGCCCCACTTGGGTGGGACAAGGGAGATGGGTGTCCTGGCAGTCACAGTGCCTGGAGCTGGCACCTTACAGCCACAGCCCGGGAAGTCTGGTTTTGGTGACAGGGTGACAGTCATGGGGGCATCAGCAGCAGAGCATCCCAGCACCGATCCAGTGTCCCTCACCCAGCTGGTCCCCTCCAGAGCTCTGGGGAAGGAGCAGTCTCTGGTGCACACACAGCCCCACTCGTTAGTCTGGACCATAATGGCACTCGCTGCTCCCAGGGGAGACTATTTCCCTTCCACCCTGTCCACTCAGCTCCTCAGGGTCCTGCTTTGACACCCCCCCAAGTGCCTTTCTGCACCCCCTGCCCGAGGAGGGGATGCACGTGCGTGCTGCTGCTGTGTGCCCCCTCCCAACGCCTGGGAGCCACAAAGGCCACAGCCACCCCGGGGGTCGGTGACATCCCAGCACAGGCTCAGTGCTCGTGTGTCTGATCTTTGCTCACAAAACCCTGAGCCAGTGCCCTGAGCTCTGCTGGCTCCTGGGGACCCAGACACGGGACAAGCTCTTCCTCCCCCCCTTCTCTCCCAGGCTGGGCGTTCTCTTCGCTCCGCTCCTGCCGGCCATTCAGACGCTGAAGCTGGTGCTGCTTTTCTATGTCAAAAAGGTGAGAGCTGTCACCCGCCATGTGTCCCCACAACGGGCAGAGGTGCTGCACCGTGCAGGGAGCAGGGCTGTCCTCATGGGAGGGAGGGGGTAATGCTGGGGTTGGAGCTCACTCAGCTCCCGATGGACGGGAGGGATGGGACGCGGGGATGGGGGCACTGGAATCCTGGGGATGCTCCCCAGGAGGTGGCATCTCATGGGACTCTTCCGTCTTCACAGAGAGAGTGGTAGGGCATTGGAATAGGCTGCCCAGGGAGGTAGTTGAGTCACCATCCCTGGATGTGTTTAAGAACCGTTTAGATGTGGTGTTGGGGGATATGGTGTAGGGGAGTACTTTAGAGTAGGGTGGATGGCTGGACTCCATGATCCCAAGGGTCTCTTCCAGCCTAGATAATTCTGTGATTCTGTGTCTGCAGACCAGCCTGATGCAGAACTGCCAGTCCCCCAGCAAGCCCTGGCAAGCGTCTCGCATGAACACCTTCTTCATCACCCTGCTGTGGTTCCCGTTCTTCCTGGGAGCAGCCATCTTCCTCTCCTACACCGTCTTGTCGTGAGTACCCACAGGACTGGGCTCGGAGTGCAGACCCGCCGGCCACCAGGCCAAGGAGAGGGGCTTGGGGAGATGGTGTGTCCCCGATGGCTTGGGGAGTGCATGGTGCCCAGTGTGGAGCCCAGTCCTGCCCCAGGCAGGGAGATGCTGCCCAGCCACCGGGCACCACACAGAGCGTCGCAGTGGTTGGCCTGTGCCTGCTTCTTCCAGCTGTTCCTGATGCAGGACAAGGGGATGAAGACCCCTCATCCAGCCACTGGGGATGGCTGGGACAGGCAATGCTCGGTCCTTTGGACATCCGAAGCTGGGCAGTGTCCCAGCTTGGGGGTAGCAGCCCCTGACCAACCCCATGGCTTTGTCTGCTCAGGGTGCGGCCGTCAGAAACCTGCGGTCCCTTCCAGGGGCTGGAAACCATGTACCAGTCAGGGAAGACCTGGGTGCAATTGCTGGAGAAGTCCAACCCGAACATCACCTGGTTCGCCTGGGTCCACCAGTACCTGGTGGAGAACACCTTCCTCCTGTTCTTCATGTCCGGGGTCCTGCTGTGAGTAGGGACCCCAGCCTGAGGCTGAACCTGGGCCCACGCTTTGAGGGTCCCACTGTCTGGGGCTGGGAGCTGGGGTGTCACTGCAGAGCCCTGTGTGCCAGCCCGGTGCCAGGAGCGCAGCATCCCCCAGCTTCCCACCCCGGCTGCTGGGTGCTGGTCCCCCTACCATCCCATCCTCCCTGTCATTGCAGAGCCGTCATCTACTTCAACATCCAGGTGGTGAGAGGCCAGCGGAGGATCATCCGCCTGCTGAAGGAGCAGATTGCCAATGTGAGCTCCACGCGCTGCCCCTGACCGGTCCTGGCTGCTCCTGCTCCAGGGCTGGGCTGTGGCTGCTCACTGCAATGTCTCTGCTGTTGCAGGAGGGGGAAGACAAAATATTTCTCATTCAGAAGCTTCACTCCGTTTATGAGCAGAGGGAGAGACGCGCCTGAGTCCCAGGTGAGCCCTGCAGGAAGGGGCAAGGGGGCTGCCAGGGTGCTTGGAGCTCGGCCACACACACAGACATGGCAGAGTGGGGCCAGCACAGGGATAGGGCAGGGGATGGGGACAGGACTGGGACAGGGAACGGGAAGGGGATGGGGACACTTAGAGAGCCTTGTCTCTGCTCATCTGTCCCTCGGGGGCTCAGGGACTGTATCTCTCTTCTTAGTGTCACCATCCCCAGGAAGAAGTGGGACAGGATAAGAGTCTGCTCACAGCTGAGGACTGGATCAGCCCCTTTTTAAGCCGTGGCGGCACTGGAGGCAGCAGGGCCAGGGGGTCCCCTCTCTTCTGGAATACAGCAGCCAAGGACACATTGAGACACATCATCTGGCAGCCCCATGTGAACTCTGTGGCACAAGGACATTGGTTCTCCCACTGCCCCGAGCTGCTGGGGACACAGAGGAGCAGCACGACCAGGGCCAGGACTGCCATGGTGTCCCAGGGCACAGGTCGGTGTGGGGCTGGCTCACCAGCAGAGCTCTTCTCCAGAGGCATTAGCAGAGAACAACCCTCCCTCCTGCCAAAGTCCCAGCCAGCGCTGAGAGCCACTCTGGGCTGCTGTCAGAAGCCTTTGGGGACAGTGAAGATTCCTGGCTGGAGAGAACCTGCCAAAAAGCCCCCTTTGCACTGCCCAGGGGCAGCTGCTGGGCACTCGACGCAGCTCCAGCCCCATGTGTGGCTCACCTGGAGCACAGCAACTGGCCAACACTCCCATGACTGAGGCCACCCGGGCACCCCCAGGCCAGGCAGCCCCACGGCACGCTGTGTCTGTTGGCAGATGGGCACAGGGAAACCACCACTGAGGTGCTGAGGGTTGGGCAGAGGAAGCCCAGGCTGTGGCTCCCCAGCTGCAGGATGACCTGGCCCATTAAAGCATAGCTGTGCTGGACCTCTGGACCCGTCACGCTGGAAGCAGGCAAGTGGGTTTGGTACCTTGGTGTCACCGTTCGTTAGGGCTGGTGACTCAGCAGCCGGCGCAGGGTGTGCCTGGTGCTGCCTCATCACATACAGCCCTGGGAGCCACTCGTCATCACGGTGTGGTGTCCCCAGCCCTGGGAGCCACTCATCATCATGGTGTGGTGTCCCCAGCCCCAGGAACCACTTGCCATCATGGTATGGTGTCCCCAGTCCCGTGAGCCACTCGCCATCATGGTGCGGTGTCCCCAGCCCCAGGAGCAACTTGCCATCACAGTGTGCTGCCCCCAGCCCCACAAGCCACTCACCATCATGGTGTGGTGTCCCCAACCCTGGGAGCCACTTGTCATTGCAGTGTGGTGTCCCCAGCCCCACAAGCCACTCACCATCATGGTATGGTGTCCCCAGCCCCAGGAGCCACTCGCCATCACAGTACCATCCCTGCAGCCCCAGCCCCAGGAGCCCCTTTCCACCACAGCCCGCTGTCAGCAGCCCCCAGTCCCAGAAAGCCATTTGCCCCCCATGGCACAGCACCCGCAGAGCCAGGGAGGGTTTTGCCGTGATTTGTGCCAGGCCTGGGCAGCCACAAGTGCCCCGGTGACTTGGCACCCATGGTGAGGGGTGATGCAGCCGCCTGCCTGGCTGGGCTGGGCTGTCGGTGTGGGCACAGACACACGTTCTCCAGGGACCCAGGCGTTCTCTGAGCCCGAGCGAGCACTGGGGAGCAGCCACAGGATGGCACTTGCAGCTCATGAGATGTCCCTGACCAAGGCATCCCGGTGGCTCAGGTGCCCCAGCTTCCAACACCCACCCAAGGTCCCCCACAGCCTTTCCCCATGGCCCCCGGGGTCACCCCACAAGGCCCTCAGGGCCAAAGCTCCTGGCAGGAGCCCCACAAGGACTTGGCCTCCAACCAAGGAGCCGTTGCCAGCCCTGGCCCTCCTTAGCCCAGCCCAGGCACCGCTGTGCCCCTCAGTGAACACCACAACCACCCCTCCTGCACCCAGAGGTGCCAGCACGGCCTGGCCTCTGAAGCTCCTGCTGATCCCTTCCCAAAAAGGCCGGGTTTTCCACCCAAGGACAGGGCGGCCACCACCATGGAGAGTGGAGAGGAGGTTTTACTGTCCAGTCCCACAGGGATCCTGCCCTGTGACACCATCCTGTGCCCCACTCCCAGCTGCCCTTTGGTGACAGGGTTCGCCATGGGGCTGGGGTTGCTCAGCGAGGTTCTCCGAGGGTGGCCCGCAGCCACTGCAGGACATCAGCCAGGCCGGTGCCGTCGCGGGCGCTGGTCTCCATCATGGTGACGGGCTGCGTGGCGCAGGAGACGATGTCCTGCATGCGGAACAGCGACTTCATTTCCGCCAGCGACATGTAGCAGGGCAGGTCACTGCAGCCAAGAGGGGAAGGGGCTGCGTTAGCCCCCCGCCATGGCTCCCCCACCCAGCCTGGCCCCTTCTTGGGAGGGGTCTCCACAGCCAAAAGCCTGGCTGCTGCCACCCAGGACATGCCAGGCCTCCTCAGGACGGGATGGAAGGGACGTGGGAGCCACCACAGTCCCCTCCGCGTCCCCCCCCGTTCCCCTGGGCTGCCCCCATCTTCTCACATCTTGTTGAAGAGGACGAGGACGGGGACGGCGGCGAGTTGGGGGGCGGAGAGGACGGAGAGCAGCTGGACACAGGAGTTGGAAACCTGGCTGGGGTTGGCGGCGTCCACCACGAACTGTCAGGGAGGAAGAAGGGAAGCGGCGGAGCAGAGCGTGGCGTCCCCCCCAGAGCGGCCCCACACGCAGCGGGACCGGGGGGCTCGATGCCCCATAGTGCCCAGCCCCATCACAGCTCGGGATGGATGGAACCGAGGGGCTCCATGCCCCATAGCGGGGCAGGGGATCAGTGCCCAGCCCCGTCACAGCTCGGGATGGATGGAACTGGGGGGCTCCATACCCCATAGCGGGGCAGGGGATCAGTGCCCAGCTCCATCATGGCTCGGGATGGATGGAACCAGGGGGCTCCATGCCCCATAGCGGGGCAGGGGTTCGGTGCCCAGCCCCACCACGGCTCGGGATGGAGGGAACCGGGGGGCTCCATGCCCCACAGCGGGGCAGGGGCTCGGTGCCCAGCCCCACCACAGCTCGGGATGGAGGGAACCGGGGGGCTCCATGCCCCACAGCGGGGCAGGGGCTCGGGACGGGGTCACCGGCGTCGTGGTGCCCCGGTGGCTCACCATGAGAGCGCTGCACTCGCCGTAGTAGCTGGCCCAGATGGGCCCCATGCAGCCGCCCAGCTCCCGCACCGTCGCCCTCCGCGGCAGCCGCAGGTCGGTCAGGTTGGTGCCCACCTACCGGGACGGGAACGGGACTGATAGGACCGCACCGGGACACCCCCCCCTAGCCCCGGTCAGCTGTCCACCCCTACCGGGCCCTGCCTACCGTGGGCAACGTGGCCGGGGGCTCGCCCAGCCCCGCCGGACCCTCCTCTGCGCTCAGCTGTGCTGTGCGTTAAGGACTCGAAGGCCACCGGGAAACGGCCCCA